CTCTCTGTCAGCGCATGCCGGTAGCTTCTTTCATTGTGCAGGCTGGCTCCCTGCCCCGATTCTTCATTGTGGGGTCATGTCTGCGTCAACACGCGCGCTGTAGAGGCTGCTAGGAGCAATGGGGTCATGTTAGTGTCGATATGTGCATTCTGGAGACTGCTGGAGCAATCATTAGGACCGTGCTCGTGCCAACACGTAGGTTGTAAAAGCTGCTGGGGGCTCGCGACGTGGACGCCGTGCACGATATCTCGTCGTGAATCCGTGCCTGCCACTAGTGTGTGATAGCCGTGCTGGCCGCGGCTTGGCTGACGATGTCTGCGATTGATCTTGAATGGCATCCGAAGGCCACTGGCCTTAGGTCCGGGCCGTTGCTGGCCATGAGATCAACTCCTGCTGTGATTTTGGGGCTTTGAGGGGCCGACGCGTGGTCGGCGGCGAGGGACGTGAGTGGGGCTCGCGATGATCGCCTGATTTATGGGGGCGTGACACCACGCGGCGAGGACGGCCGTGACTGGCCGGGCCGCTTTTCAGTGCGCGGTCGCGAAGGCTGGTACTATGCACGAGACTGTTGGTGCGTGTGACACGAGGAAAACAGGAGGATGGTGGACTCGAGCCTGTGACGTGCGCTCTGGTCCGCCGGAGCGCGTGTGTGACGGCATGACGCGTGACCGTAATCACGCTCGTGCTCGTGGTGCGCGTGTGCGAGGCCGCTGTGCGGTCGTTTCGTCCCGGAGCGCCGGCTCCAGTTGCAGCCGTGTCTCCTCAGCCTTCGCATGTAGTGTGCAATTTCCACTTGAGGCTCTTATCTGGCCCTATCGAGCAGACTGTGGCCGACCAGACCCGCCTTTGTACTCTTATCTCTGCATTCATTGTGAATACAGCCGACGTCATTGCGCCCTGTGATTGAACACGACGCCGGTCGCTAATTTGGCGTGGGTCGGACGACACTCCCCCCGCTGCACTCTGCACGGCCCTGAGCGGAGGCCATCGCTCCACCAGGCGGGCGCTTCAGACAGGGCGGCTACGGCGGTCTAGACAGGGCGGCAACAGAGGTCCAGACAGGGCGGCGACGCGGTCAAGACAGGGCGGTGACGGCGGTCGAGACAGGGCGGCTACGGCGGTCCAGACAGGGCAGCAACAGAGGTCCAGACAGGGCGGCGACGCGCTCAAGACAGGACGGCGACGGCGGTCCAGACAGGACGGAGATGGCGGTCCAGACAGGGCGGCAACGGAGGTCCAGACAGGGCGGCGACGGCGGTCCAGACAGGGTGACAACGGCGGCCCAGACAGGGTGGCAGCGGCAGTTCAGACAGGGCGGAGACGGTGGTGCAGACAGACTGGCGGTGATGGTCCAGACAGACCAGCGATGGTCTGGACAGGGCGGTGGTGGAGGTCTAGACAGGGCGGCGGCTAGCGGTTCAGACAGAATGAAAGAAGCAACACATCACCCCCGGCGCTCTTGCAAGCACAGAGCATCGCGGCACGGTCGGGCTTTATTCGAGCCATTCAGTTGGAGGCGTCTTGCAGCCGTCTGGAAGCAAGTGGGAGCAAATAGCCGTGTGTGTATCTGCCTGACTGCGGCCGCGACAGGCGAGCAGGGATGTGCCCCGCTGACAGGCGAGCGGGGATGTGCCCCACTGACAGTTTGTAATCGGCTGGTGACAGACGCAGCCGCGACAGCCGAGCGGGGATGTGCCCGCTGACAGTTTGTAATCGGCTGGTGACAGACTAGTAACAGTCATTGGCCATGGATCGACCGCAGCCACGTCTCCGTCTCTCCACTAGTGGTGTTCGACGGTGCCGCTGCACGGACGTTTGGCAGCTAACTCGGTTGTGCATCAGCTCACCGGCACCGACGCGGTCGGCAACAGCTTCGGAGGGAGCAACCTTAACCCGTTCACCGGACCCGAGGGGAGGGTGAGCCCTCCCCTGATCCGAAACCTGCTCGCCGGCTAAAACACCCTGACCTGTCGTCGAAGTCCGGCTAGGGTCGATTCGTGACAGGACGCGAGTGGGCGGCGACCTTGCCACGGCCGCCGCGCGGCCTGCCGTCTCAGAGGCGGCGTGCCGCCGGCCACTGGCCAGTACCACTGCCAGGTGCTCGCTCGCGGGGCGGGCGGCCGCGGCCGCTGGGCGGGCGGGGGCGGGCCGCCGGCCTGCCAGGCCGAGCGCCAGTGAAACCCGACGGCGCACGGGCCGGCCGGCCGTAAACAACAGGCACTGGGCGCCGCCCGGCCCGACTGGAGAGCCGGCTGGAGATAACGCCAGGTCACAACAGCGGCATGTCCCTGCCCTGGGGGCTTGTTCAGGTCACAGAAGCAGTGCCCGTGCCCTGAGGATTTGTTCAAATCACAGCAGCAAGTCCGTGCCTTGGATGCTTGTTTAGGTCATAGCAGCTGTGTCCATGCCCTGGAGGCTTTTTCAGGTCACAGCAGCAGTATTGGTGCCCGGGGGCTTGCTCAGGTCACAGCGGATTCTGCATGTGCTTCGGAGACTTCTTCAGCCTCGACCGCGTCGCGGATGGGAACCAAGTAATCATTATGTCATGTAGCGCTGCACCCAACAGAATATTACTGTCGCCACATTCCATAAGCGCGATGCCCTCGGTCAGAGGCGCTGTCGACGCCCGAAAGCGTCGTGTTGTTGGGAGCGGCTGGAGCCCAGCGGTCTGCCCAGCTCCAGCTCGGTCGTGGAGGCGGGCCGGGCCGGTCTGCTGTCGGCCGGAGGAACGTTTGCAACGCTAACTGCCTGTTGCCAGGCGACGGGTCGAGCTCAGAACCACTTTGAGAGACGGAAGGAGAGGGCTGGGAAGGCGGCCAAGACCACGCTGGGGAGGGAGGGCACGTAAGGCATGTGAGGCGCAAAACTCGGCAACTGAATGGCGGATGTCGTTCGGGAAAAACAGCAAGGTACTTATGGCTTTACGTGATTCAGGAACTCATCACCGACAGGAATTCATCCCGCCAAGTATGAACGATACACCAAGCGGACAAAAGCAGGCATATGGTTTACACTGCCCGGTCCCATGGCAGCGCCGATCAGATGCAGGGGCATGTAAGCAGCGGCAAACGGGTCTGTTCGGTTCACCGCGACACTGTTCAGCTTTGATGCAAGGCGTCGCTAACTTCAGGTAGTCCCCCCACCCAGCGTGAAAATGGAGTGCTCCATTCAGAGCACCACTGGTGCGGCGCTCGGACCAAGTCTCCGACACCGCGCCATCACTGTCGGTACCTCAAACATGGGGATTGCTGTCACGTGTGCAGCACGGGTGACGGCACTGCATTATGCATACCAAACAGAGGACCTTCTGATGTCAAACGATGGCCCATTGTTACGGGACGAGCAGTGTCGCGGACTCAACCGGGGGCACCGATCCTCCGCCAACAATACTGAGCTCCTGTTACCGGCACCGATCCTTCGTCAGCGACACCGAGCTCCCGTTACCAGCACCGATCCTTCGTCAGCAATACCGAGCTCCCGTTACCAGCACCGATCCTTCGTCAGCAGTACAGAGCTCCCGTTACCAGCACCGATCCTCCGCCAACAATACCAACCTCCTGCTACCAGCACCGATCATTCGTCAGCAGTACAGAGCTCCCGTTACCAGTACCGATCCTCCGCCAACAATACCAACCTCCTGTTACCAGCACCGATCATTCGTCAGCAGTACAGAGCTCCCGTTACCAGCACCGATCCTTCGTCAGCAGTACAGAGCTCCCGTTACCAGCACCGATCCTCCGCCAACAATACCAACCTCCTGTTACCAGCACCGATCATTCGTCATACCGAGCTCCCGTTACCAGCACCGATCATTCGTCAGCAGTACAGAGCTCCCGTTACCAGCACCGATCCTTCGTCAGCAGTACAGAGCTCCCGTTACCAGCACCGATCCTCCGCCAACAATACCGAGCTCCCGTTACCAGCCCCGATCCTCCGCCAACAATTCCGAGCTCCCGTTTCCAGCACCGATCCTTCGTCAGCAGCATAGAGCTCCCGTTACCAGCACCGATCCTCCGCCAACAATTCCGAGCTCCCGTTTCCAGCACCGATCTTTCATCAGCAGCATAGAGATCCCGTTACCAGCACCGATCCTCCGCCAACAATTCCGAGCTCCCGTTTCCAGCACCGATCCTTCGTCAGCAGCATAGAGCTCCCGTTACCAGCACCGATCCTCCGCTAACAATACTGAGCTCCTGTTACCAGCCCCGATCCTTCGTCAGCAGTACGAAGCCACCATCAGCAACACAGCTCGAAAGGTAGCAGGCACCGGCGGGTTTCAGAGATCCCCATCAGCAGAAATAGAAATTGCCACCCATTAACTCGTCGAGCTTTTAATAATCAGAAAAAAATGTCCGTCCCTCTCCAATCTCTCCATCTTTATTTCTTTCCATTGACTTTGATGTGGCCGCTGGCGCTCAGTCAGCTCTAAGTTCCCAGCAACGGCTCTCATCCCTCTCTCCCTGTCCCGCCGCCGCAGCTGATGCCGTGGCACACGACTCGTATTGAACGCTTTGCGAATGTCCCACCTTCCGTCGCGATACCTCGGGAGCATCTCCCGTTCCGTGGCCCGCCGGACCGCCGCGCGCTCGCCAGCTCGGAGTCCGGGTATCGTGGACGGCCGTTACTGAATGACAGGGGGGGGGGGGATCAGACGGCTGGGGTAGGTGCAGGGTGGTCCCGCGTGAGAGTCGGGGGCCGTCCGGACATCCGTGAAGTGCGTCAGCTGAAGCACACACGGGGGCTATGAAAATACACGCCCAGAACGTCTGGCCGTTTATACAGCATGTCCATGAATGAAGGGGATCTGAGAGTCGCAGGACGTGGATATTTCAAGATATCGATATTTATGCATGTGGATGTTTTAGATTGAGCGATTATTCGGGACTGTTGTGCTCGCCAATCGCGTCACCAAAGGTAGGTAATTACCATTTAAAAGTTTAATAAATATTTTTAACACCACTGAAAATCACAAGTCACAACGCTCGAAATGACGAGGATAATAGCATGTGTACATGTATATTTCATCATGAACGATTTGTGAGTCACGAGAGCCGGTCATTGGGAGTGAACTCATAGCAGGCGTACACATGCCTCAAGAACATACATTATCCGCACACAAAAGTATGGAGTATACGATCATGCCCATTTATCTGCACAATAAATCAGGGTAAGCGCACAAGTTCAACACCTTTGCTCATTCATGCAATAAATATTCAATGCAAAGTGACCGCACCTACAACATAAATATTCAGTATCGCGAGATTACAAGCATACTGCATCGGTCCGCCATCACTCAGTCAACCGAACCAGCCGCCTAGTACCGGTACACGAGCAGTGTGGTCTCATTCACCGCCGGGCACACGTCCTAGATTGCCGACAACGCAGACGCACGCGCCTTCTGCGCTGATCAACTCCCGTGCGCCGGCGCTACAGCACGACCGCGCATTGCACGATGGTATGCACCACAAACCGGAGGAGCGCCGCAGAGCGGTGTCCGGACAGCCCGCGGTTCGTGCACTCGCCTGTCAGTGGACTCGCGGCGCACGTCCGGATCTCGAGCCAGTGACGGCCGCCGCTAGAGCGGCCCGCGCGCTGCTGGTCCCCTCCTTCAGAGCATCGCGTCCTGTGGGACTGTTCCGCAAGCACAGCAAGAGCGAACAAGCGGAACTGTGGAATGAGAACTCTCTCCTCCTCCCCTCCAAGACTCAGCCGTCTCTCTGGCGGGAGACGGCACAGGGCTGCGCTCTTCCGTCACGTGACGGTGCATCAGTACACCGTTGGCACACATGCGTACAGTCACGTGACGGGCACCGCCGGAGCTCCTGCGCCGCCGCCGCCGATTTAGTATCGCCCGATGGCGCCCAGCACTCCAAATCATCCGCTGTCTGTGGGCGAACCACCGCGTACCGCGGGGAACGCCGCCGACGCATCAGATGCTGCCGGTGCGCGCCGTGAGTCTCTCCCTGGCACGCCATCGGACGAAGCTGGTGAAGGACGGCGCCGGCTGATCCCATTGCGGCACCAGCCCCAGCTGCCTCCACGCGCCGGTCCGCAAAGTCGACACAGTACGTCGGACGCCATCCTTCTCTCTCTAGGATAGCATGGTTGCCAGCCGCCCCCAGCTGCCCGGACGACCCAGGTGCGCGGCTGCTTGTCTCGTCCTCAGGCACTTGGGCTGTCCTCGCCGCTGCAGCCGGCGGCCGCCCTCAGCTGAGCGGCGGCGGTTGCAGGGCGTGTGGGCCAAGCCGGTCCGTGATCACCTGCTCACTGAGCCGCCGCAGCTAGCCGCCGCCCTCAGCTGAGCGGCGGCTGCAGGGCGTCTGGGCCGAGCCGGTCCGTGATCAGCTGCCCACTGAGCCGCCACCCTCAGCTGAGCGGCGGCTGCAGGGCGTCTAGGCCGAGCCGGTCCGTGATCAGCTGCCCACTGAGCCGCCACCCTCAGCTGAGCGGCGGCTGCAGGGCGTCTGGGCCGAGCCGGTCCGTGATCAGCTGCTCACTGAGCCGCCACAGGCGGTCGGCCCGCTCCCGGTCGTCGGACGCGTCGGATTGCGGACAGGCGCAACAGTTGTTGATGTAGAGGCCACCGAAGCCCTCCAGCTCCGGCGCCGTGGCGGCGTACACGCTGGTACTGGCCGCCTGCTGCTGCGGAGAGGCAGGCACGGCACAGGTCACCAACTGACACATAGTAGAGCTGAGTGACACAGACGGAACTCCTCATACACACGGTATAAGTGATAGCTGTCAGAACGGGCGGAACATGGAAAGCCCAGTACGGGACGTGTGGAAGAGCGGCATGCCTCAAGTGTCAGAGACAGTATAGCTCATCGTACACCACAGAGACGGCGCAGGTCAGAGGAGACAGACGACACACGTCGTGGCAAAATACACCACAGGTCATACTCGTAGATGAAAGGCAGCACAGGTAACAGACGGCACAGACATGGCTCAAACATTGCATAGGTCATGTGTCGCATAAAGGCCAAATCACGACACTGGCCATAGCCTGCTGAGCTCGGAAAGGTCTCAGACCACCCGCGTGCCTTACCAGGGACTTGGTGAAGGGTCGCACAACTGTGAAGAGAGCTCGCCACACCCACCAGTGGCGACCCAGCGAGCTGCTGACCATGTTGCCCGGGTGTAATGAGCTGCTCGTGATGCCTGCCAGGACCAAGGACCACCCATTACAGGCGAGCCCGCTGCTTCACAGCCAGATTACCGCAGCGGCCCGGATCATCGCACGTGTGAGTGGCAAATAGATTCCTTGTTGGGCTCACAGCGCCCGCTCGTTAATGTAAACGATATTGGCTTTGAAACATGAGCAGGCAAGGGCACCTGTAGCGCGAACCTTTGGAGCACCATCGTCTGTTGAGTTCGCTGGCGAAGAGGTTGTTACACAGCTTGGAGTCGTTGTAGGCGACGATGCCGACGTACTTGCTGGCGGGCCGGGACAGGTTCTCCAACGTGAAATCCTCCGCAGACAGACGAGACAGCCTGCAGGCAGCGACAGTCGCGTCAGGTGATGACGGTGCAACGAGTCGCTGGCAGACCGACGAGAAACTCCGCCCGCTGCACTGCCCCGCTCAGACCGGCACTACTACACGCCAAACCACCACAGATCCTGCACCATCCCACTCAGCCCAGCACTAATACACGCTTAACCACCACAGATCCTGCACCATCCCACTCAGACCAGCACTACTACATGCTTAACCACCACAGATCCTGCACTACCCACTCAGACCGGCACTACTACACAGATCCTGAACTATCCCAGCCTAACTGCAGCCTTACCGCCACAGATCCTGCACTACCCACTCAGACCAGCACTACTACACGCCCAACCACCACAAATCCTCCACTGTGCCCACTCAGACCAGCACTTTTACACGTTTAACCATCACAAATCCTCTGGCGTGAGCTGAGCGTTGTCCGTGCAACAGACAGCACAGCGACGCGGACGAGCGTCGCGCCGCTCCGACGGACCTGTCCCCCGACCGCGCCGCCGCCACCGGCTGGCTGGGCGGACAACGGGTCGGCCGGCGCTACAGCCGCCCCCTAAATCAGCCTTACGGGCCGGACGCGCGCCCGCGCCGACACCGCCCCGACGACGGCGACGCTGTCAGCGGCTCTGCTGATCCCGAGACCACGGACAGCTGGGAGACGTTGGATCACAACACCACGGAGAGTTAGGAGGCGTTGGATCGCGAGACACGGCTAGTTAGGAGGCGTTGGGTCGCGAGACACGGCTAGTTAGGAGGCGTTGGATGGCGAGACCACGGACAGTTAGGAGGCGTTAGATCGCAACAACAGGGACAGTTAGGAAGCGTTAGATCGCGAGACCCCAAACAGTTCGGAGGCGTTGGATCATAAGACCACGGACAGTTAGGAGGCGTTGAATCGCGAGACCACGGATGGTTAGGAGGCGTTAGATCGCGGGACCACGGGCAGGTCGGAGGCGTTGAATCGCGATACCACGGATATTTAGGAGGCGTTAGATCGCGAGACGACGGACAGCTAGGAGGCGTTGAATCGCGGGACCACGGACAGGTAGGAGGCGTTGGACTGCGAGACGACGGACAGTTAGGAGACACTATTGCGCTCTGGCTTTCAGAAACGGAAGGCAGTGCCAATACCATACGTCACCATGACTCAATAATCCTCAGAGCCCATGCGCTGTCACTGCCATTGGAGACATTTGAACGCATGCGAGGATATATATGGATATAGGCGTACGGCAGAGTGATGCGTAACGAAGGTGTGGTTTCACAAAATGAGCTGGGGGCTGGGCAGGGACAAATGGCTAAACTTACCCTAAAACTACACACAAAAAAACGTTTATCCCGCAACACGCACGCGCGCACACACACACCCACACCCACACACCCACACCCACACCCACACCCACACCCACACCCACACCCACACCCACACACAAATATACATACATATATATATATATATATATATATATATATATATATATATATATATATATACACATACATATCTATATCTATATCTATATCTATATCTATATATATATATATTTGTATATATATATATATATACATATATATACAAATACTGAATAGGTTACTACACCTCTAATGCGCAAGCAAGCAGAATGGATATATACCTGTCCTACCATTGGGAAATTCATGCCAACCAAGTGCAGAGCCGGCATGACGGAAGCATTAAAGGCCTTGGGCATGATCCTTTGGCATGATGGGCATGATCTTTCAAAAGGACCGCGATGGACTGCAGCAGAATATGTGTGCCACGGTGAGAATCAAAATAATGCATCGGCCTGCCTGTCCAACTCTGGCTGCTATCAGATTAACTTTATCATCTCTTGGCTTCTCATGCAACGGAATGGTTGTAATAGCTACGACACGTCAGCCTGTTAACGGCCCTCCTGCGCCGATGTTGTGACAATGCTGTGGTTGTGAGGCTTGTGAAATTGGCGCGCTTTTAGCGCGGATACTTGGACAAAGCTGACTGCTGACACTCAAGAGCTTCTGTCGCAATCAAGACATTCTAGCACAAAAAACCAACGCCTACGTTCGTTGCTACCACATCAATTTGATTACGCAAGTTGTGAAGTGCATTTGCGAGGAACATTATCCACATAGATAAGACAGTAGTAATAGCCTTGTTCCTCGAAGAAAAATAAGGAAAATGGAGACATAGGCCTTGAGCATATATCTCCATTATATCCCTATATCTCCATTTTCCACACACACACACACACATATATATATATATATATATATATATATATATATATATATATATATATATATACACACATATATATATATATATATATATATATATATATATATATATATATATATATATACATTGTCCTGAGTCTTCTCCAAAGAATGCGGCGATTACTACTGTCTTATCCGCATGAATTTGACTGCAGCCCATGCCAAGGCAGAGCCGCGTGGCACACGAAGGGCGAGCCAACCGTCCATGCATTTGCCAGACTGCGCTAGGTGAGCAGACCGTTACTGATCGTAGGAATTTTTACGTCTGGCGAATCGTCTGATAAATAATGGTTGCATAAAGAATTAATCAATATCCTTTACATGGCAAATATGGAACTGAAAACCAAACGGCAGGTGAAGATAATAGCTGAAAATCCTATGAAAATGTAAAAAAGGTAATGTAATGTAATGTAAACGTAAAAAAACGTTAAAAATGTTTTAAAAAATGAAAATGAAACGCGCAACGACACAGCAAAAAGACAGCTGGCAGCAAGTCACGCGCTTCAAACTTGCCCATGTGCGTGACTTGGAGAAGACCATGGGTGTACCTGCGTGACCTGCAGGGACTAAAGGTGCACAGGTTCTCACCTATGTGATTTTGAGCGAACATGAATGTACGCAAATGAGTGACTCTCATGGGAGACCACAGCAGGGGTGTCCGTACCTGTGTGACTCGAAGGAGACCACAGCAGGGGTGCCCGTACCTGTGTGACTCGAAGGAGACCACAGCAGGGGTGCCCGTACCTGTGTGACTCGGAGGAGACCACAGCAGGGGTGCCGTATCTGTGTGACTCGGAGGAGACCACAGCAGGGGTGTCCATACCTGTGCGACTCGGAGGAGACCACCACCACGCGGGCGCCGCGGGTGCGCGCCAGCGCCGGCTCCAGCAGCAGGGTCAGGTAGAAGTGGCCCAGGTGGTTCACACCGAACTGCGACTCGAGCCCGTCTTCAGTCAGCGTGTGCGGCGGTGCGAACACCGCCGCGTTCAGGATCAGCATGTGCAGATGTCTGCGGGCCGCGAGGAACTCAGCTCATTGTAATTTACCACGTAGCCTGTCTTTCCTGGCCATCACGACCTCCGTCTGAGCGCAGCCTGACCCCAGTCTGACCCATGACCTGTACGGCCCGATCTGACTCATGAACTCTGACTCTGACTCTGGCCTGACCTAGAGCGGGTCCGACTCAGCAGGGGACATGTGCATGGGGAGCCGGCATCACCGCGTCGGTCGGCCTCTGGGGTGCACATAGTTGCATGCCAGCATCTGGGACACATTTCACTGATGGGAAGGTCACGCTATTTGTCGAGCCCATGAGTTCTCGGATGATGCATTACCAAGCACCCCTACCAGAAAATAATTATGTCTGATTAGGGCTATACCACGAACGCACCAATCAACGCGAAGACCATCACAAACAAGTTACTAAGCGAAGGCACGGCGCATGCACCTGGCCCATTTGCACAATATGAGCATGCGCACCATGCGCTAGCTATCCCTAATGATTCATTCCACTGCCCTTCAGAAACTGGCCACCGGCGGTCGAACGGGCCAAAACTAACGTTACACAGAATGGGAAATACCATCATCGTAAGACACCAATGAGCATATGTAGCGACGAGTGACGGATGTGGACGGACGTCTGTGCCAGGCGACCTCGACATCAACAGACCTGTGGCGCCTGTGGAACTCGGCGGCACACTCGCGCACGCTCGCCAGGCTGGCCAGGTCCAGGTGAATGACGTCACACACGCTGTTGGCGCGCTCCGATCTGATGGTGTCGACGGCGGCGCGCGCCTTCTCCAGGTCGCGGCAGGCGAAAATCACGCGGCAGCCGTGGTAGGCCAGCGACCGGGCCGTCTCGTAGCCTGGGGCACGGGCGCGGGCCGGTCAGGGGTCGGCAGGAAACATTGGCCAGCGACAGTCAGGCATGCGGATCTGTTGGGACATGTTTACAGCATACTCTCACTGATCCAGACCGACTCCCGCCTGGTGGTGACCGAGTCTAGTCAGTGTCTCGGTCTGATCACTACCCCATCAGCTCCAGTGTCCAGTGTGACGTCATTTTTAGTACACAAGAGCCTTTTTAGTACACCCTGTGCATGCTTGGTATGCCTATCGTGGCCATTAACCACTGTAATTCATCATGTAACCCGTCCGCCCTCAGCAACACGACCTCTGTCTGACCACAGCCTGACCCCAGTCTGACCCATGACCTGTGCGGCCGTACCTGACTCATGAACTCCGACTCTGGCCAGAATTAGAGCCGGTCCGACGCAGCCCGCCCCGGCACGCCACGTCCCAGTCTAGTCTCCGCACCCCTCCCGCCGCCCCGCATCAGCGCTCACCTATGCCTGAGTTGGCGCCGGTGATCAGCGCCACGCGTCCACTGAGGTCCCGGCCGTGCAGCACCTGCAGCGCCGAGCTGGAGCCGTCGAACCGCTGCCGGATGCCCTCCTCGCCGCCCTCCTGCTCCTCCACGGCGAACGCCAGCCGCGGGTCGGTGAGGCTCGTCGTGCGGCTCTCGTGGTCCACGTACACCACCTGCGGCGGTCGGGCGGCGCTGGCAGCGCTCCAAGGCATGCGTGTGGGGTCGCCGCGCGTGAGGCGGCAGGCGTCACGTGAGGAACACCGGCTCAAAACCGCCTCTGGCGTTAGTCGTGGCGGGGTCTCATGAGATTTCGGGGGGTAGGGTTGAGTGGGGTTCCGACCCTCCAAAATTCGTAAATTTTGCGTAAGGTTCATGGCATGTACCAGATACTTTGCACCGCAAGGACGCCAGACATCACACCATCCCACCCCCCTCTGTGTTAAAAGGAGATGTCCTTCAGTGAATGATCGTTGGGCTTCACATGTAGGCTCCTGGTTTATGGACAGGCATTTTAGTTACGATCATTGGGTCGCGCAGAACACGTCAAGAGATTCACTCCCGTCACCTGTGGCCCCTGTTCTGTACTAGTGTGCGATACGGCCAGCGGTGGCGCTAGAGTCGCCCCTAGCCGTCTGGGACAGTATGAGACCGAAGTGCCCCCAACCACTCCACAGCAGCTTTGGCACGATGTCTCATAGCGTGTTTGACACTTTTCAATATATATATATATATATATATATATACATATATGTTTGGCCAGAGATCCATTTTCGAAAATTCGGTCTCGGTGCCCTGATCGTTGTGTAGAATGCACTTATAAAAATTCTATCGATGCGTGATTTTCAAAAGGTCCCTGGCTGCCCTCGTACGCACCACTGGCCAGGGACGAAATACCGGACGAAGACAAAGCCGACAAGACCGTCAGGTCATATCCGTCTCGGTGGGCTATCTCCAATGTGCTATTGTTCTACGTAGGTCACAAGCGGGACCACACTAAGACTACGCGGAGGTTTCGCATTTCATCCAGAGCGCCTGGATCCCGGTCCCGTCTCTAGCTATGAACACGCAGGACTGCTTACCACCGATATGCATGCACGGCTCAGCTCCCTGAAGTGTTCAAACATATAGAATAATACATTTTATCCAGACTCTTCTAAATGACTCCCTCTCAAACTCCCAGAAGTCCAGCAAATATAAAAACTGAGCAAAAATAGGTTTGATTTAAACCTGAATTTTGGTGGACCAGGACTTTCCACTTTGACCAGTCAGAGAATTCGTTGCTTACCTTGCCCTCACGATCAACAACCTTTTCCCATCCAAAGGGAAGCTCCTGAGGTACGTTTTTCTTCTTTCCTGTCCGGGGGTGCCTCCACTGGGTCACCTTCTCCGTGTGACTGAAAAACGGCGTCCACAACTCACAAACGGCCTATACCGTAATCACCTAACAAGAAGCGGTCGTGCAATTCTCAGCAGTTTATATCATGAAATTCCCAGAAATAACACGCAATATTTGCCAACCCTAACTTCGTGGACTTCATAACAAAACAGAGCCCAATTCAGCCGGCTTCGAGCCATGCCAGAAACCGCATAAAACAACGCCCAGCTTCAGCCAACACCAGACCGCGTTGTCCTCCTGAATGACCCAAACATTCTTTATAAATATTGGTTTAAATGCAACCCATTCATGGGAACTGTTAATTATTTATAACTGTTCAAGCATGACGTTTTAAGCATCCAAGACTGCATGGGAAAACACATGTACCTGGCCCCAACACAAGCTCAAGCACCCGATTCGCGTTAGCAGCGCGTGGAACTAACCAAGTATGCGACACACACAATCTAAGGCCCACTACGCAGCCGATCCAGCTCCACTGGGCTGAGACGAGACACAATCTAAGGCCCACTATGCAGCCGATCTAGCTCCACTGGACTGAGACGAGACACAATCTAAGGTCCACTATGCAGCTGATCTAGCTCCACTGGGCTGAGACGAGACACAATCGAAGGCCCACTATGCAGCCGATCTAGCTCCACTGGGCTGAGACGAGCAAAACAGCTGGTGGCTTACTTGACATAGAAGACCCTGCCATCGAGGCTGACCCGTTCCTCCCATGCTGGAGGGAGCTCGTCTTCGCTGTCCGAATCGTAGCCTGGCGGCTGCATGATCCCCGTCACCAGTCCGACTTTTGCTCGGACCTGAAGGGAGGTAGCCATCCAGGTAAAGGTTCAACACTTGTTTGGTACCTCTGTGTTGAGTTGGAGCCTCATGGAGCTCAATTGGAAAAATGTGAAAAATACATAATCACAATCACATAAAAATCAGTTCTGCATGGAGGTGCATACGGAATTTGTCACTGACTACTATGGCCTTATTCATATTATCATTAAATTATTAAACTCAGAGGTAAGGGCACATCATACATCAGCAACAGGCAGTTACACATTTGCTCACAGCTTGGGGCATGATTAAATAAGACCTTCAAAGAATGTAGTGTGTGTTTCATAGGCAAATGAATTATGCTGCAAAGCAAGCTGAAGTCAGCACAAATACCATTCAATGAGCCATACAAATGTGGTCATTTGTTTGAGTCACACCAAGGAAGGCAATTGGTGGCAGTACCACATGATGATGGGTGTCATTTTACCACAACTGTGGGTGGAATGACACATTTGGAATGACACATGTGGTGGTAGAACCAAGCCTGTTCCTCATTTTTATTAACGATCCACCAGAAAAAGTGCAAACCATGGTCAACATGTTCCGCGGAAGACACTTAGAAGATGCGCTGAAGTGTTCTGAATCCCCTGACTGTGTCTCTTGTATCAGTCTACCGTGATACTGCGGTCAAGCAGTTGGAGGAGTGGCTGCTCCCTTTCAATGCATCAAAATGTTAAATACATCAGCAACTGTGACCCAGGACTGACATAACTCCTGAATGGCACTGAAATCACAGTCAAGCTCACAAAGAGGCACCTCAAAATCTGTGTGGACTACAGGCTCAATTACTATGTGGGGAGGTGGAGGCCATTTCAAAGGTCAACCAAATGCTGGGCTTGTGAGGCAGTCATTTGCCAACAACATCATTTGGGGCCCACTGGAAAGACATGGTTGCAGTGTTTCAAAAGTTTCACAAGCCATGTCACTGTTAGTACAGAAGTTCCTAACAAGACAAGACTCAGATGTGACAAGAAGATATCCACATAAACCTCGAGCCAGGACTCTTGTCCGTCAAGATTTGATCAGCACCCAGGCCTTATATGATTGGAATGTTCTTCCATCCACCAACAGTAGCACTTTCAACCTCAGTTGAGCAATTCAAGTCCAGGCTTGATTTACACTGGGCTGATACCATGGTTGATATCACACACTGGGCACATCCCTAGTTTAAGGATGTTAGATCACCTGAATGGGAGCTAAAATAGACCAAGATCAACAGACCAAGAAGCCTTTTCAAATTCTGATCACCATGAGGCAAGGTAAGGTAAGACCTGACAAATGGGTTAGGTGCAAATGTGTGATGCATGCTGCTGAAAATTTGCACTCACAGTATGCTAGAATGGATGCCTCATGGAAAACTTTGAGTTGCAATCTTCCATTACAACACCCTGCATACACACATGGGATGATGAGCTTCAATAAATGATATTATTAATCTACCTTGATCTCAGACACCACAGGTAAGAAAGGCATTAGTGCAGTTTAGAAACACCATGCAGATGACTGTTTTACAGAAAGGTGAGAGCACAACACATTACTTTACACATGCCCTAAATCCTTGTATAATGCTAACACAGGCTTCACACTCAGTTCTAGGAACATAAGCCAGTGACTCCCCATTCAGCTTTCAGCTATCTCCACAGTTCAGGTTAAAATAAGCTGCGTGAAAGCTCTGTGCAGGCACGGATTATGTCGGGTGAGTGAATACAGCAAATACTAGTCTCAGTTGGATTTTCAGGACATACTTATATAGTCTTGCGCTGTAAACGAGCACTTGCATGGCTTTCCGCTAATCAATAAGGGCCTACCAATCGCCCTTCATCTGCCCATTCTTACTCCTCTCGCCGCGCTCGCTCCGCACCCTCTGCTCCGTACGCTACTGCGCTGCTTCGCCGTGCGTCGCCGTATGTAATCGCCTAGGGCCTTGGTAATCGCCAGTGCTCACATTCCTCCCGCTGCAAAACCTGTCGCGTTGTGCGCCACAGATGAACCAAGTATGTCATATATGCAACTTATTTGCCGGGTCAAATCGCTGGCATGTAAAGTTTACGCTCAAAGATCAAAGTTTTAGTGTAGCAGGGTTTTGAGGACTGCACGACTCGGGGCTTGGACTCAACATACCGGGTCATGGGGTCAGATGAATTTTGGAGGATAGACTAAACTCAAGACAAAACAGTCATTAGACAGGCCACTGGCCGGGCGACTAGTGGAGAACACATCTAACTCTGGACCGCAGCATCAAATAACAAGAACGGGGACGGGTCCAAGATTTCTTCAAGGGGGGAAGCCGGCATTGTGGGCGCCCTGGATTTTGGGGCTCCTTTGAAAAGTACATCGTATTCCTGCAATTAAGCTGCAATATATACACGGGAACCCATCTAACTGTGCGCAGCTCTATAAAGCTAGGCGTGCTACGCATGCGCATTCATGGAGCTCATTCACTTTCTACAGATCATGTTAAATCCTGTGATTTTGAGGTTGAGCGTTTTGGAACATCAAGCAAAATCAACTCAATTTGACTGCTGAATGCCATCAAAACCAAGCACGGACTTGATTCCTGGCTTGTTTACGGCTAGTTGTCTGAACAATGTAATCAGCTGATGATTAATGCATGATTTTTTCCGTTGTTAGAAAGAAGTACAAAATATCCTAGCATTCAAGACACGTTAAGGACGTGATTCACAAGCATAAAAAAGTGTCTCCCACCATAGGCGTAGGAACGTTTCAAAAAAGTTGGTGGGGACACGCTCAGGGCGTACTTCAGGAACTTTTTTTCTGGAAAACAAGCCCGATGACCTGGGGGAGGGGGGGGGGGGGTAGAGATGGAGGTTATCGCTCTTTATTCAAAAGTAATGACTGCTACTCTAGGTATGAATCTAGAGCTGATTCTCACTGGTGCACACTCTTTCCTATCTGACTCGTCTATGTCATTCGGAAAATAAGGCTATCCATCCTCCCGAGGTAATGCGTTCATTTGGACGTTGTCTGTCCTGGGGAACCGAAATTCCACGAGCGGGTAGGCATTTTGGGTCAATCAGGAGACGTCTGCCTCCACAGGGTAGATACAAAAATATGGCCTGAGCATAGGCTGGTGAGAATTTTGAAAGTGAATCGAGGGCTCACCGTGCAACAGATTTTGCATGCACCTTCATTTCGCTGGCTGCTTTTCAAGACATAAGACTTGTCGCGGCATTTTAGGCGGAAACAAATTCGGAAGCTTGAAGCTGCCAAAAACCAGGTGACAGAAGCCATAGAACTGGAGATTCTACTTTGAAAACCAACCCACAGAATGAAGGCCCTTCTGTCATATATTTTTGTCTGATCCCTACTCCCGTCCGCCGTCGGTGGCCACTGTCCTGGCCCGGCTGTCTCCGATTGACTGACCGCGAACTGATGGCATGGCTACTGTGTTGCACATTTCTGGATCGGCATTGCTACTAATTGGGATATAAAGCATATGTTGGACACCTGCAACAGTGCTTTTTCCAAATGGTTTTCCCTTATACCACACCACCCCAGAAAAATGCCGCCGGGAAGCTGCCTACTTTAGGTATAAATTGGCCCAACGGACATTTCATTGCCCGTCATTAAACGTAGATGACTTGATCTACTTTTTGTGTTGGCGGGGGTAGCCAGCGCTTTGCTAAAAGGAACACAGGTTTGACAGAAGCCCCCATTATGGTGATCCTCCCCCACAAAAAAATATCCCCGTGTATAGTTTGCTTGTTAACAGGGGACGCGGCTTTTTTCGTTTCATTGTTTTTTTTACGTTGTAACTAGAACAGAAGCCAGAAGCTACCATGAAATTAATTCTGTTCGCATTTTTAACACGCGCCCGGGTGGCCGGCTAGATACCCTTTGCTCGAGTGATGGTCAATTTGACCCCCTCTCCTGAGATCTTGGGATGTATTAGAGCTAGGGACACCAAATTCACAGGGTGTGTTGAACTGTACGTTAACTCATTTAGGTCAGAGTTTGAGGTTCCTAGGTCATGACTTTCGGGTCAAATAAGGTCAAGCAAGGTGAAACTCCAGGTTGGTCTCTAAGGGCCCTCAGAACGTAGGTAACTGTTTCTAAGCAAAGGTCACGTGTTCAGTTAAGGTCAGTGCCCTTGTTTGACATTTGGAAGGTCAAGGTGACCAAAATCACGCAAGACTGCTCTGAGTTTTGCATTTGAATAGCCGAAAAAGACAACGCTATGCAGTATGTTTTTAAAAACAAAATGTCCACCTCGGTCATTTCAGGTCAATGGCCTATTCTGACCTCTAGGAAGTCCATGGAAGATGTATAATGGGGTTTCTGCCATCAATAAATTCGAAATGAGCACCAGAAACTATTACATGCAGCAAACCCAAGAGTAATGACAGGTTGATTTTGACCTTGGTCTGACCTTTGTACCTGACGTTAGGTCAGCTTAATTTGCTCATTTAATATTTGCGTTTCAACATTTCGTCATGGTCCACCGGTGAACGAAAATTATAGCGGTTATAAAATAAGAAAGCATCTCAGAGAAGTGTGGCTTCGTCCAACACTCCATTGTTGCATCAGATTGAACGATTCCCTAGAAGTTTACTTCGCTGAAACTATGGCCTGATTTTGAGCTGCCATAGGTCAGCGACCTTACAAAGCACATCAACATTTTTGACGCCAAACGATCTGCTATTCAATTGTCTACAGCTATGCAACATTTGGCGTGGCTATGCCGCACCTCTCGGAAACCACTCTGGAAAAACCTTCGGGGGGCGAGTCAATTTGACCCCCACCCGAGCGCGTGTTAAGGTCAATAAACTGCAGAAATCAGGCATTTAACGACCGCATGGAATACATCAACGGTATTCTTAGTTTGCAATGGCTTAGTGGACCCTTTCTAAAGCGATGGAATTCATAAGTTTGTTCATAACGTTATATCTGCGTTCTACAAACATTGAGGACATCGCGAAGGTAGATTGTGGATTGATAGGTGTCATCGAAATTTGAG